AACTTAGCTCTCGCCAGGAATTAAAATTAGGACCAGGGGATTTTGGTATTAGCTTTTGTAGCCTTTCCTTAATGTCCTGAATTCTGCTGTATGATGAAGGGGGTTGTGTGTGGTTCTGAAACCTTCTGGGTTACCTTCAGAACAGAAGTTTTAATTTAGCTTAGTGCCATATGTGGTCTTCGTGCTGACTCTTACTTAACTGGCAGATCATCTTGTACGTGAAGGAGGAGATGAAGAAAAACAACATCTCGGAACAGACTGTGGTAGCCATAATCTGGTCAAGTGTAATGAGCACGGTGGAATGGAACAAAAAGGAGGAGCTGGTAGCAGAGCAAGCCATTAAGCATTTGAAGGTATTGTAATTCACTATGGACTTTTGCACCCCTTGGGTAGGGCTTGTGCTTCCTTCTGTCTCGAGCTCCCTTTCAAGTGTTAAAGCCTTGTAACAACCCTGCTAATGCAGAGACAGCATTAGGTGGGGAATTCTTTCTCTTGTATTGCAGAGAGTATTACAGGCCAGGTTCCTGGGGCAGAGGCAGCGTGGCTGCTGCAGGAGCACTCTGGGGTGGGGCAGTGGTTGCAAATTTCATAAGCAGTGGCCGATGGAGACTGTGAAACCAGCCTAGTCAGGCGGCACACGTGGAGTGTTCTGCGTGTGCCAATTTGTTGTTCTTGTTACAGCAATACAGCCCTCTACTTGCTGCCTTCACCACCCAAGGTCAGTCAGAGCTGACTCTTCTGTTGAAGATTCAGGAGTATTGTTATGACAACATTCACTTCATGAAGGCCTTCCAGAAAATAGTGGTGCTCTTCTATAAAGGTAACTTCTGTGGGGTTGTAGTTTTGGAGTTTTGTGGGGTTTTTGAGGGGTTGTTTTGGTTGATTGGGTGTTTTGGAACTTCTGAAGCAGAATGCTTCAGCCATAGGTGGGAGACCACCACCATGTTCTGGGGTGTTGTAGGCTCTCTTTTTAATGTCTGATAAAAGGTGTTACTAAAAAACATGCTGTGCAGCTGTGGAGACTTGTTAAACTGAAGATTATATTGTACCATTTTAAAAACAGCTAAACACTTCCTGTGGTGTGCTTTTGACTTCAAAGAATTTGTATCTGTTCTTAGCTTTTAACTGAAATCCTTAGAGTGTGTGCCATCTCAAATAACTCTGAAATACCCCAGACTGTTAGTGGGAGCAAAAGTGCAGCTCCTAGATGCAGTACTCAGGAAAATCCCAGCAGCCAATCCAAAATGCACAGCTCTCAGAATTTTAAAAGAGGAGCCTCTCCTAGTGCAGGTCTGTCCAGCCGTACCCACAGAAGGAGCATGTGATGCTTCTGGGGGGGAAGCAAAGGCTGCCAGTCGGGGGTTCTCACTGCTCTTGCACATCTTACAGCTGAAGTTCTGAGTGAAGAACCCATCTTGAAGTGGTACAAAGATGCACATCTTGCTAAAGGAAAGAGTGTTTTTCTGGAGCAGATGAAAAAGTTTGTTGAATGGCTCAAGAATGCTGAAGAAGGTGAGCAGCAGCTTAGCTCACAAGTGGAGCTTGTTCATTTTGGGAACCCTGGTGCAATAACACTGTGTGGCCAAGGGTGGGGATGTTAAATTGCCTCTCTAAGACAAGAGTGTCCCCTACCCTCGTACTGGCTAGAAAAGCTTGCCTGTGAAATCCATGTGGATCCAACAGCAGCTTTTATGCAGGATGCAGGGCAGCAGTGAGCTCGGGGCTGGGGGCTGACCTGTGGGCAGGCTGCTTACAAGGTGTCTCTGTTGCAGAGTCGGAGTCTGAAGCTGAAGAAGGTGACTGACCTGAGAAACTCTGTCCTCAGTAAAGCAAACAGGAGCTGTAGATAAGTGTCATGTCTCATGTGTCCTTCTGATTCTTACATCCTACCTCCCTGTATCAAGCATGATATAAGGGCTCTCATGGCAATTTATTTTAACTGTTTTCTATAGTTATTGAAATACTGGATTTAGTTTTTAAAACCATGTTCAAGTAGCTTACTGGAGCTGTTATAGGTTTGACTCTAACTTGCATTTGTCCTTTCAGTTACCTTCTACCTCCTGTATTTTCTACTGTAATACTGTCATTTAAAGCCTTCCACAGTGAAATCTACCTTACCCCTTGGGATTTCTATCTGTATTGGAGTAGATGTGATATGGTGAATGAGACAGGGCAGTTCTGTTTGCAGATTAAACTGTAAAAAGTCTCCAAGTGAATCAACCATGGCTTGTGTGGCACTGCAGTCTGTAACACTTACTCCAAATAGCCCCTTTCATCAGTGGCTGTCCATGTCCCCAAGTACTTTGTCATCCCTTTACTAGACTTCCAGCATAAAGCAATCCTCTATTCCAACTGGAGGGTGAGGTGGGTGCCCCACTCCTGCAAGCTATTGGAGAGAAGCTGTTGTGGTGGCAGTGACTGCTAACTGTGTAGGACATGAAGAGTGGCATCTCTTCAGAGTTACAGACTGAGCCTGCTGGCTGTCACAGCTGGTGGCCTGTGTTCCTGAGGGGCTGTCAGGCACCCCTGTGGCTGAGCATCAGTTCTGGGGGCGCCTTTCCCCTTCCCTCATGGGAGTACAAGCAGTGCTGACCCATATACAGCTTTCTCGAGCTGGGCTCTGCTGCTGGCTGGGGGTGGCGGGGGCAGCTTCTTTGTGCTGCTCTGTAAATGCATGGCTGCTGGAAGCTAAGACAGCCAAAACTCCACCCCTCGAAGTTTAAAGATTCTTTTATGCTGGCAGTTGACATGCTAAACCAAACTGCTTATCTGCTCCCTGAAACTTTACTTCCTAATGGAAATTCTCAGGACAGTTCAATTCAGAAACCTTGGGTCAAAGAGTGAAGTCTATACTGTTGTAAGCTAAGTGAGCATTAACTGAAATACTGGTAACCAGAGTACACCTAATAAAATAATGAAAAAATTGGTCATCACAATGCAATCTGTTCAATACTGCAGTGATCTTCCTTACTTTGTAACTTTTTTTTTAAAGCAAATAAAGGCCATCCTTACACTTAATGTCAAGGGATATCTCTGCTCCTTATCCAAAAAGAAAGCAACAGTGACACTAAAGGGTAAAAAGCAGGTCTTCTGCTATTTCAAGGACCATTGAATAAAACATAATTAAAACAATACTTCCTTGGTGTTAGGGTGCTCTTTTCCATATGTTGAAAGTGCCAGTGTCCCACAAGTTCGATTTAATGAGAAAACATAACCAGGTTCATCAATATACTAAATAAGTTCGATGTCAACAGCTGGATTGAACTTAAGTATCCAGAAAGTCATACTACTAAGTAAAGCATTTATAACATAAAGTATTTACAAAATAACCAAGTAATAAGTAGTCAGTGGCATTCAGGTTTCTTTGGTGCACTGCCCTGTGAGTCAGCCTGCTTGGCTTCAGGAGCCTGCACCCTTTTTCTGCATGTCTGGGCAGAAGAGAGAGAAGAGAGGCTGCTGCAGTGCTTCTTTAAGAGAAGTGCAGTTGTTCGGGTCATACTCGTGTCTTCTGAACAAGGTCAAAGAGATTCTTTGTGGTCGGAATCCTGGCAAATCATTATGAATTCATTCATGAAAATTCAAGATGTTCTGTTGTTTATCTTATAATTGCACTTGAAGCTCCTCTCCACAAAAGCATTTCCCCCGTCTCACTTTCAGTGGCTTATGGTGTGTTGATATATATATGCCTGCAGAACTCCGTTCATCCCAAGCCAGCTGGCCAGCACAGAAACACCTGTGTTTCCCTAGACAAACAGAACATAGTCTGGTATTCAAAATTCTGTGTTGTCCCTTCAGTAGAAGTTTATCAGTTGTTTGTTCATAACCTGGGAATTGATCTGGGAATAGTCCACAAGAGTGGCCAGCTTGTTAAATACAGTAAAAGGATGACTCCATGATTATTAAACTTTTTTTTTTTTAAAGTTTGCTCTTAAACCTAATCTGAAAATATTTAAACTGTAGCAATCCAGCTTTTCTTTCATCATGTGATACAGCAATGGCTGCAGCATTTGCTTCATCATTGCCAGGTTTTTTTTTTGCCACAGCTCTCACCTCTGAAAGGAAATCAAGAGACGTTTTTATTCACATAACAAATAAAGCAAAAAGGAAGCATCCTTACAGTTCACAGATCTGCAGGTCTGATATGCCATCTGTCTAATGTGACCCAGCTTAAATGGCAGAGAGCATTCTCTTCAATGCAAGTCAAAGGTGCTGAGTCCCACGAGCTCAGAAACAATGCATATGGTGTCCGTGGTGCTCAAACCATTCCAACATCTGGGCACAGTGACTACAAAGGGAGGAACAACACATGGTTTGCAACAGTTGTATTAGCACTGAGAAGTATTTCCCATGTTACAGAAAGTGAGGTCACAGAAATCTCAAAGCTGAAACAAAGTAAAAGGTGAATTTGTATAATCATAGTGTACTGCTGGGACCCAGTCCCTGTAAATATTCCAGTCCTAGGACTTCCTAAGCTGCATCAGAGCAGCTACCATCTTTTTGACTTTTCACAGATACATGTTTGCCTCTTCTGAAGGGACAGTGATTATAACAGTGATTATAACAGTGATTATAACAGTGACTAAGAATATTCAGATATACATTGTTTATAACAATGGCAACCTTACCAGAAAAGTTTGAGGTGTTTTTTTTTTACTACATGCTGACAATATAACCAAAGTTCATCTATGCATAAATACAACTAAAATTTCATATTTAAATTCTGAAAACATACTTGATCCCATATATATCAGTATTGTTCTTAGAGGTTAGAAGTCCCACCTACTTCCCCACTGTATTGATGTATGCTGGGCTAATACTAGAGGAACTTCCATATCTCACAGCCTTACACAACTGTCAGTCAAAAATGACCAGCCTTCTTCAGTCTTTAAGTAGTAAAAATGTTAAATGAGGTTTCAAGTGCCTTCTACAGTGGCTAGAAAGACAATCTTGTTGCCTACTACCTTGCACATAGTAAAAGTGCCATAAAATACAAAATACATTCCTGATTTGCAACAGACTCACTGACAGAACCCAAACAGCATTGCATCACCACAGGCTAAGCTTTAAGTTAGCTACATGGTGCCAGACAGCTTCCTCATTACACAGGCCTGGGGTGATCCAGGCCCCAGGATTGCCCAGTGTGGGGGAGTGCAGCTTCACCCCACAGTGTCCTGGTCACCTACCTCCATCAGCCCTCATCCTCTTAACAGGCCTCAGCCACCAGTCCTGCACAACTCTCCTGTCTAAGTGCTGCTTTCAGCATGTTGTGGTAACATATTTAGTGTTTGGGAACTGTGGCAGCCATAAAGAAATACTTAACAGCCTACAAAGATGTAAAGATAAAACCTGATGCAATCAGCAAGCACTTTATGAACCCCACTGTGACAGCATCGATAAGAAAAATTACATTTATTTAATGAAACACTTACGCTTTGTGATTGATGCATTCCACTACTCCAGAAGTACCTTCACCCAAAACAGCAACAACCTCATCTATAAAGGAAAAAACTCTCAGTCATAAGCTGTAAAGTTATTCAGCTATTAAAAAAACCGAATCAAACAAAACCAGATTTAAGTACTACCACTGAAGCTGTTCTAGTCTGTGCTTCTTTAAATTGTAATTACCCAGTTTACAATTGTTATTGTTGCTGTTATTGGACAACTCTCATCAAAGCATATTTAAGGGGCAAAAAGGAAAAAAATAAACAAGTAATGTACTCAAATTTTACAGAAAAAGAGTAAGAATCCCCACCCCTAAACAAAAAAAAAGGACGGAAAGAAAAGACTTCCAAAGGTCCTCACATCTTATGCTAAAAGAATTTTTTGCATTGGGTTTCTGTGGCCAGGTTTTAGTAGCTGGGGGGACTACAGGGGTGGATTCTGTGAGAAGCTGCCAGAAGCTTCCCCCATGTCTGACAGAGCCAATGCCAAGTGGCTCAAAGATGGACTGCCATTGGCCAAGGCTGAGCCAGTCAGAGACGACAGTAACTCCTCTGGGATAACAGTTAAGAAGGAAAAAAAGTTATTGCACAGATATAATTACACTCAGAGAAGAGAGGAGTGATAATACGTGAGAGGAGCAGCCCTGCAGACACCAAGGTCAGTGGAGAAGGAGGGGAAGGAGGTGCTCCAGCCACCGGCGCTGAGGCTCCCCTGCAGCCCGTGGTACAGCCCGTGGGGAGGCGGCTGTGCCCCTGCAGCCCATGAAGGACCACAAGGGTGCAGAGATTCCACCTGCAGCCCATGGACGAGATGCACACCGGAGTGGATAGATGCCTGAAATAAGGCTATGATTCCATGGGAAGCCTGTGCTGGAGCAGGGTCCTGGCAGGAGGTAGAGCCCAGGGAGGAGGAAGGGGTGGGGGAAAGTTGCTTTTAAGATTTTACCTCTCATTATCATGCTCTGATTTTGACTATAAATTCAGTTGATAACCCAAAGTCGAGTTTGTTTCACCAATGATGGTAACTGGTGAGTGATCTCTCCCTGTCCTCCCTCAATTCAAGAACCTTTTGTTACATTTTCTCTCCCCAGTCTGGTTGCAGAGGGGACTGATGGAAAGGCTTTGGTGGCCACCTGCACCCAGACAGGGTCAACCCACCACTACTTGCACTTAGTAGGCTCCTCTCTGACAGGTCAGGTGACTGCATTATGTTCTGCACTCCTGGATCTTTCCAAACGGCACCACAATCATGCAGCCCACCCGAGTGAATTCAGGTCAGAATACACAATTCATTCAGCAGAGAAATACTCAGGCATTCAGATACACACCAGGCCACAAACAGATGACAGGAACAGTTTCAAATTCAGTCCCCAGAAATTCACAGGGCACGTAGTTAATGTTACAGGAGAAAAACATGGCAAGGAACAGATTTTCAGATGAAACTCAGAGTAGCAAGGCAACAAAAAATTACAATTGTTTTTCTTTTAAATGATTGGTTCACTGAATTTTACTTCATTATTTCAGGGCCCCTATTTTTTCTTAAACCAAACAGATTTAATAATTATCTTTTACACAAACATAGATATATGTATATAAAATAGCCTTGTGGCCAAATTAAAATACCCATCTTAAGCAATCAAGATTAAATCACTTATACGAGTATTTGCAAGAAGTTATTTTTTTTAATCATAAATGCCATATACATTTACTTTGTGCTGTCTTGGCTGAAGATCTTAACTTATAATTCCAATCTTCAGCTTTAACAGTTAAATATA